AACATCATATATATAAATTATTCAATATACATTTTTTCATAGATAAGAAGTTATGCAAAGAAAGTAGAAATTTTTATTCGATGTTTAAATTATATTGATATAAATAAGAAATCTAAGATTTGATCATTGTAAAATATGTCAAACTCATTCTTTCAAAGTATACTAAACTTGACGTTTATCATAACAATAGAAATTCGCGTAAATATAAAAAAAAGAAATGGTAGAGACTGTTTTCAGCATAGAAAAGAAAAGCACGAAGTTTCATTTAACGAATAAAACTGTGAACTTTTCTGCAATGTTGATAAACTGCATCTTTTAAAATAAAAACTTACTAATCTCTTTTTTTTTCAAACAGAAAGAAGAAAAGTTTTGGATTAAATTTGATCACTAATTGAGTTATACACATTGTATGAAGTGATCATAACTTTGCAAACGTTCGGTATGTTGAAAAAATAAAAAATAAAGTATGTGTGAGACATATCCTAACTGTTTTAGTAGAAAGACATTATATCAATAGAATATTGTTCGACAAGAAAACAACTATTGCATTAGGATCGTCACCACAACGAGAAAAAAAAGAACAGAATTTCAACTAATTTTAATAAACATGAATTTGAAATGAAGCTGTATCTATGTTTATTCGGAGATTCACATAAAATATAAAATGAGTCAACAAAAAATATTTCTTTGTCTCCATGTAATTTTTTTTCTCGATATGTTGAAATCAGAAAAAATTAACTAGGGTGTGGGTGTGGGTGTGTGTTTCTTCTCCTCACATCCACACATCCACCCACATCCGCACACCCACACCCCGCTACAAACTAACTGATAATTTCAATACACAGGTAAAAATATGAGTTGGCTACTATGCCAATTTTCTAGTATTTTGCCCGAAAATCATACTGAAAAGTTCTGTTCCAAAATAATTTTTGTTTTTTCTAAAAGCCCTTGCAATTAAAGGATTTCAACCTTGCTAGCAAAAGTTAGTCCGAACCACAAACAGTGAGGGGTAGTGCACATCTCTATCCATTTGGGCCCATAATCATAACAATACATTTTTTATGTTCATCCAAATCAAAAATATAGTTTCAGCTTCGTAATCAGCATAAAAAACTGAGTATAAAAACCTGGTTTCATTAAATGAAAGGCAAATAAGTTAAAAAACATCTCATCTAGTACAAATAACTGAAAAATACCTCAAAGTATACTTTCATAGTCACATGTGTGGCTGTTTATGAAGAGAGGTTAAAAGAAATGCTTTACTTCATATAGAATCGCTGAAGTCTTAGCTTCAAATATATCTATTGATGTGTCGTTGAATTTTGTATAGTTGTCGAAAGAATCACGCTGCTTGTGATGTCGACAGAAAAAATATATAAAAGTGTAAAAAATGGGGTTTGTGTGCTTTGGATTTCATCATCATAACCAAATGCAATACAGAAATGAATAGCATATTCGGAATCAGCGCAAAAGCCTACGTCGGAAAGCATATTTTTTAGAAAAAAGTTTTTCTAAAAAGTATGCTTTCCGACGTAGGTTTTTGCGCTGCTTTGTATAACATTTTTTGGAAATGCTTTTCTTCGTAACGAAAGAAAGAAAGACAATAGTTCAACGTTTCGATGATCTATGACATCATTTTCAAGATTTATTAAGTTGCTTAGGAAGTCGTACAAAGAAAAAAGAAAAAGAAAACGAAAGATATAACAGAAGTAAGAGAGAAACAACATTATTTAACGATTTTAAGATTACTGCTAATGATCGAGGTTAGGTAGCTGAACTTTTGGTAAACCATCAGGAAAGACAAGTAATGGTACCGAGTGTGTTGTTTTATTAAATCAGGTTCATAAGCCTTGATCAGTGGTGATTCTTTAATCAACAGACGATAATAATGATTGTCTTACCATACTATTTGAAAATTACTCCAGTTCATTCGATGACCTCTTTCTTTTTCATGTTGATAAATTAATGACTTATCCATCTTCATATCGTTGTTGGTATCATCTATTAATGTTATTGCTGTTTTTGTTGTTGATAGTGATGATGATGATGTTGTTGTTGCTATTTTATTTTTGTTTTTAATTCGTGATGATCTTCTTAATTATAGTTGTTGGTTCGAATCATTACTTTCATGGCTGTACTCTTGTTGTTGTTGTTATTGATAATGTGTTATAGGTGCGCCATGTTCATATAATCTTCGTATACATTGCCGTTCAGTTTTGCCAATATACGAATGTTCACAGTCATTACATTTAATATAATATACTACATCTGATTGTATATGTTTAGCAATTGGATCTTTGGTTTGGAAAAATGTTTGTATTGATGGTGGTGGTTTGAAGAAGAATTGGATGCCGAGATCAGGTGTCTTAGTTTGTTGGTAAGGTGTTTAATTTTGTTTTTAAGACCTAATGTTGATGATTGAATAAACGGTATCTCAACATATATTTTCTTTTTATCATTTTCAATTATTGATATACCTAATTTTGTAATTGTTTTATTTCGATGCTGACTTAATTTAATACCGATAATTGTATCGATAAATGATAATGGATAATTATTGAGTAAACCAAATCTTCTTATTTCATTAAATTCATGTTCTAAAAGTTTATATGTTGAACATATGTTAAGTGCAGGATTAACCATACTAACAATACTGGCTGTCTTATATTGAATAGGAACATCAGAATTCCAATTTGTCAATACACCAGTGAATGTTGGCTTACGATAAATTGTTGTCTCGAAGCATTGTTTTTTCAGATAATCAAATAACTTGTACATCGAGAAATTCCAATTTATCATTATCTTCAATTTTTCTTGTAAACTTAATTGATGGATGAAATTCATTAAGAATGGACAATATGTTATTTACATTTGCATCTTTATTAATAACAACAAATGTATCATCTACATATCGATACCATTCACATACATCTGATTGTGTTAATCTATCCATCAATGTTGTTTCCAAGTGAGTCATGAAGATATCACCAATCACTGGAGCTAAAGGTGCACCCATTGCAACACCATTATATGTTGAACATACATTTTGTTATTAAAGGTAAAATGTGTTTTAGATGTAACTTCTTCGAGTAGAGTTCTAAAATCAACATTCTCCTTACATTTACGACATTGTTTTATTCTTGGTAGTTGCAGACATGATTTTGCACATGTCGGATACATTTGGTCAAGAATAAAATCCATTGTAAATGTAAGTGGAACATTGGTAAAGAGATTTACTACATCAAATGAAGCTAATATCTTATCCATATTTTTTGATGATTTAATTTTGTTTAAAAAATCAAAAGAATTTTCAATAACATATGGACTTGTTCGAAGATGTTTTAACCGATTTCTAAGCATTTTACGTAAACCATATCCAACTGTTTTTATTGCAGACGTAACAGGACGTAATGGATAATTTTCTTTTGGTTTATGTAATTTTGGTAAATCGTAAAGACGAGCTGGTCTTGAACCTATTGGTTTAGCCATATGATATTCTTCATTAGTAATGAAACCTTCTTTAAGTAATCTTGATAACAAACAATTTACACGATCTTCATTTGTAATGATAGAATTCTTGTAAATACGTTTGAATTTCGATTCATCTTCAAGAAGAGTTTCCATTTTTCTAATGTAATCATCTTTATCCATTATAACTATGCCACGTCCTTTGTCTGGTTTTGCTATAACAATGTTGGTATCATTAGCTAATGATCTTAGTGTTTGTTTGATTTCTTTGCATTTTTAATTATTCATATTCATTTCTAATTGAGCTTTCTTCTGAAATGAATTAGCTATTGAACGTAATTCACCTGCAGCACTTAATTGAGCTGATGTTAATTTATGTTTAATTTGTTGCTGTGGATCTTTACGTTCATAATGACGATAATCAGTTTGTAAATTATTTAATTTTGATAAAAAATGTTTCGTATTACAAACAAATCTAGAATTATCAAATTTACCTGTTGGATAAACATGATGAAGACCATGTTTAAGTGCATGTTCGTCATCAGTTGTTAGTTGCCGTTGAGATAAATTTGTTATTGTTTTTACATCATTTTGTGATTTACCATAATTTTTACTATTCTTTGGAAGTGATGAAAGAGTGATAGAATTATGTTGAGATTGTTTCGGGTGTGGGTATGGGTGCAACAAAAGAGCAACATCCGCACCGATACCTACACCACACCCACACTACACCCATATACCACACACCCACACCCCGCACTCATGTCTTACTCAAGAAACTCAATATAATCATATTTCTTTTCTTCCTTGACCCAACCTCAAGACGTGACAGTTCTTGAAAGGCAACACGTCAAAAGAAAAGAGAGAGAGATCATGCGGTCGTTGTATAGTAGAGGGATCTATACGACATGAAGAAAAAGAAAAGATATAAGTGACATGGCAGATGATATGGCCTATGACGTTACAGATCATAACAGATAAGATATTGTTTTGTCAGAGAGTGGACAAATGGTTGGTGAGAGCATACTGTAGCACAGTTGTTCGGTGCGTGTATTGTTGCATTTCAAAAGATAACAATAGTGAATTATATGTACACATGATTCGAGTGGACAGACACTTTTGTTGATGCATAAACAACGCGTATGTCGCAGATCAATTCGAGATTAATCCGTGATATATACATATGAACTATGCGTAGACAAAGATAGGCAAAGAAAAGAACAATTATGTAATATAAGAGAAAGAGCCGATATAGACATACCATTCTCTGTACATATCAAGACATTTCGCATCCAGCCTTTGCACGTACACACAATTTCAGACTCGAATATGCATAAATTACTGAAAGGATATATCGCAAAAGGGAAAGGAGTGCACGGATTGCTTGAGTAGTAAATAATCTTGGCACGAAGATAGCATCTGCGACAAGCAATAAATGAATTTAGAGTCACATATATAGAAAGAGATATCAAGTGCTGAGTCTACCAACAGTGAAAGGTTGCTTATAACCTGAAAGGATCAATACAATTCTGACGGATTTGAAACAGTGAAGAATAATCCGATAACACAGCGAAAAAAGAGCTGTTTTGAATTACATACGAATGCCATTGCCAATAACACTAGAAACGTGATTACAGAGAAAAGTGCAAAAATCATTGCCTAGGACTCTGAATCGATTAGTAAAGATTGACAGAGATACCCAGGTCGAAGATTCCTGTCACCGGATCCCGCAGGATACTGGAGGAACGATGCGGGAAAACACAGGAAGTCACCGCAACAGGGTAGCAGTATTCCGGCCGGAAAATGTTTGGATTGTTTTCGGTGACTTCCGGGCAACTTCCTGCAGAAAACGGGAGGAATTTGACCAGAACTCACCGGAAAAAAATCTGAACATTTTCCGGCCGGAATACTGCTACCCTGTTCCGGCGACTTCCGGTGTTTTCCTGCCGGAACCCGCCTGTACTTTTCGACCTCGGTAGATATATAGGTGTTATCAAGTAATCAAATATGCTCAATTGCTCAACTAATAACGTTATGATATTCGGCAGATTATTCCACCTTTATGGTTGAGAGATTTGAGGCGAAAATTTTTCAAATTTACCGTCAGTAGCTTTTAGGAAATTTTTCCTTTATCTCAGGAAAAGGTCAGAAAAGCCTGAAAGCTTTAGCGTTTATAGAGCCAATATTAGGTTACAATTTGACTAAATTGAAATTAAGAAAACACGTGATCAAAATAGTTAGTCAGTGGTGTATATAAAAGCTCTTCAATAACTTCTATAAAGCTATTGAAGTTTTTTTATTATCAGCTATATGGGTACCCCATCTAGTCTCTTTCTAACGGTGAAAACCGCAATCCAATAGCTATCAGCATTGCCGAGTTATTCAACAAACAACCAAATGCATTTTATTTTGAAATGGATAATAGAATTGTAACTGCATAAACTTATATATATATATTTTTCATTTGAATTACTTTCTTCTAAATCAATTTCTTCTTAGTCTTCTAATGTTTGACTATCAGCATTTTCCATGTTTGAACCACTTTCTTCAACATGAAGATTATTATCATCACTTTCATCCTCAAATCAATTAACCTCCAAAACTGTATGTTTTGATCATTTGAACGGTTTTACTCAAGTATAAATGAAAACTGCGGGGAAGATAAGAAGGAAAACTTCATTTTTTTTTGTTTGAAAAATTTATTCTGTAACAATCGCAAAGAAAGTTGCACTTTTTGGCTTTTTAGTATAAAACTGAGCTTTTTTCGATGTTTCTGCGTATAAAAAAAGATAATTTTGCCTTCTTAAATTGTGCTGATTAGATGCATGACATTTAAATTCACAAAAACAATGTAAAAAATGAAAAATGAAAAAAAACTGAAAAATTTTGGGTCGGAAAAGGGGAGGATCTCCTTAAAGTAAAGTTAATTACCATATATTTGGTATGCATTGATCTGATGGAGAAAAAATGTTGAGAATGATATTAATGCAATTTGAATAGGTTATGCGCATAGCATAACGATGATAAAGGTAATAAAGCTAGAATAGATGCATTTTCAATAATTTTCACTTTAACCTTCTTTTTTTTATTATTATAATTGCTTTTTCTTTCTTCGATCTTTTTTTCTTTCCACTACATCAATATCAACCTTTTGATTACTTAACTACTATCGCTGCAATCATTCAAAAAGTAAATTTCTATGGCTTGATTGCAGCGAACAACAAGATATACGAAAATCACAATAGAAACCATCACTCGAATTAATCAACATATTAATAAAGTTCTAATGGCATCTCAAGATGAAATTCATCATCAGCACCAACATAAAAATGTTCAATATTCAAAATCAACCTTTGCTGTTCTATTAGCTGCCTTTTCTTCCCTGGCTGGGTGGTTTTTTGGATATGATCAGGGTGTGACTGGTGGAATGGTTGTCATGAGTTCATTTAAAAATGACTTTTGTATTGATGTATACGCCAATGCAAGTGTTTGTGATCTTCCAGTGGCTGCTTTGCCTGCCGATTACAGACGATTTATAGTATTCTTTACGTTATTGTATAATCTCGGTTGTTTTATTGGTGCTATATTCATTTCTGCATTTGTAGCTGAAAAATATGGACGTCGAGCCACTATTTTCACTTCAGCAGTTCTATTTTTAATTGGTACTTTAATTGTTATTTTTCCACCAGGTGGTTCGAAAAAGATAATGATTTTGATACTTATTGGACGAATTGTCGAAGGAGCAGGTGTTGGATGTTCTTCATTTTCTTGTCCATTATATGCTTCTGAAATAGCTCCAACAAATTTACGTGGAATGCTTTCTGGATTTATGCAAATGACTATAGTAGCCGGCTTATTTGCTGCAAACGTCGTTAATTTCTTAATCCAAGATCATAAATGGGGCTGGCGATTGTCAAATGGAATTATTTTAATCGCTCCAATTACAATTATGGTCGGTATATTTTTATGTCCTGAAACTCCTCGATGGTTATTTAAGAATAAGAGTAGAGAATCAGCAGAGAAAAGTTTACAACGTATTCGTAGAACAGATAATGTAACTGCTGAATTAGATGCTATTGCTGATGCTATACAAAAAGAAGGCAACCAACGTTCGATCAAAGAACTATTTACAACAAAGAAAATGCTTCAAAGACTTGGTATAGGTATGAGTGTACATATTTTAGCACAAACATCGGGTATTAATGTTGTATTTACATTTGGTGGTATTATATATGAAAGTATTCTTGGAAAGGGTATCATATCATTATTAGTTTTGTCTGGTGCACTTGTATTCAGCACATTTCCAGCCTTATTCTTATTTGATAGACTAGGACGTCGAAAACTTCTCATACTTGGCGCCTTTGGCATGGTAGTTGGTCATTTTGTAGCAGCAACAGTATTTACTATAGGTTGTGGCGTAATCAAAACTATCACCAATGACACTACAATGAATCATGAAATTGTGAATTGTGAAAGAAGTTCTGGTATATTAATGCTTGTCTCGACAACTATTTTTGTATGTTTTTTTGCAATTTCTTGGGGACCAGTCGCTTGGATTTATGCAGCTGAGATTTTCCCTCTTAATGTTAGAGCTAGAGCTGTTTCAATAACTACAGGAAGCTCCTGGTTTAGTTGTGTCATCATATCATATGCACTCGAGCTAATAAATCCATTAGGAATACATGGAGTATTTTATCTTTTTGGTAGCTTTTGTTTATTGGCTGCAATATTTGTATATTGTTTTTGTCCAGAAACGAAAGGAGTTTTACTGGAAGATATTGAAGAAGAATTTGATAATTTTCAGTTGAAGAATAGAACATTAATAAAAGTCTTGCGAACATCATGTCAAAGGAAATAAAAAGAAGGAATAAAATCATTGATGTACTTTGTTTGATGCTCCCTGCTTATTCTGAATATGTCATCTTTTACTTCTCATATCTTGATTTCATGGTTTGTTTATTCATATAATGTTATTCTTTACTTGTTATCTCCTTTCTTTCACTTTCTTCCAAAGTGACTATTTATCGTTGATCATTTTGTCGTTTATCTCCTCTCTTCTCATATTTAGATTGTCTTTTGCTCTCTCTCTCTCGTTTCAATGATTTATTCTATGTAGGAAATAAATCTACTGGAAAGAGAAGGACCGTAAACGGAAAAGAAACAACGAGACAATACGGAAAAGATTTGAACAGATGGAAGAGGGATAGGGCTCCTAAATTAAGTCTTATGCCCTAATCATACGAAGATGAATTCAATTTGCATGAAGATTAGCTAGAATATACGATAAATCTTTATTTGAAGTGATGTCGCTGTGATTTTTTTCCTTTTTCAATTGCTTGTTGAAGTAGGAATATTGCGTGTTTTTTTATTGTGAAACTATTGGTGATATTAAGTATATATTCTATGGATGTGTATGTGGAAAATCCCAATGCTGCCATTAAGGTTTTATTTCGGATGATTTGTATCCGTTTCTAAATTTTTTCGTCTGGTGTCAAGAGAAGCGAGGAACCTTATATAATAATTAATCCAACCAAAGATTTGAATAGATTTATCATTATGTTGTTGTTTGAATTTGAATTTAATTTAAAAATAGAAGCAGACTTATTCGTGGCGCTACATTGAATAAAAAAAGTATCACACGGAACTTATGAGGTTTCTGGCATTTTACTACATCTTATGAAGTATCTTATGGCGTAAATTTCTGCGAAAAAAACGCATTCAGACAAAGCGCTTCTCCATACTCACGAAACGCGTTAATGGTGGCAGATTTCACGCGTGTTACACCGTGTATACGGAACGGATGGAAACAAATAGTTTTCGGCAGTGTTTCGCATCACTTTTAATAGCAACGCGAAACGTATTAAACCAGTCAGCATTAATACGTTTTATAGCATTTCAAGAAAATGCTGCAAAACGCTGTGATGTACGTATACTTTCACAGTGTTCGTTTCAGAAACAAGAAAACGCGTTTTGGGGTGGCGTGTGAGTGTGGGTATGGGTGTGGGTGTGGGTGTGGGTGTGGATGTTGGTATGGCTATTGGTCTTTCTTCTATACACACTCATACCCACATCCACATCCACATCCACATCCACACGCACATCCTCACACACCCACACCCATAGAATATATACTTAATATCACCAATAGTTTCACAATAAAAAAACACGCAATATTCCTACTTCAACAAGCAATTGAAAAAGGAAAAAAATCACAGCGACATCACTTCAAATAAAGATTTATCGTATATTCTAGCTAATCTTCATGCAAATTGAATTCATCTTCGTATGATTAGGGCATAAGACTTAATTTAGGAGCCCTATCCCTCTTNAAAAAATACAAATCGGGGAACAGAATGAATAAATTATGACTTAGCTTTACCAGTATTTAGTATTCCTGTAGAATATTGCATGGATAAATAATCATCATGAAATACTTAGGGCAGTCCAAAATCAGGGGCCTCATTTTCTTATTTCTCTATAGAAAGCTGAAAGAAGTTTTCTATCTTGATATAATGGTAGAGAAAACGATGCTCTATTTTTCTATGCCATTTGATCAGTATTTAACTAATATCATAATAATAAAATTTCAATAAGAACTCTTTTGGTGTAAAACTTCACTAACAGGCGAGGCAGATTAATATGCTTTACATTTCAATTTTAATCACTTAATACGTTATTTTAAAAATTAAAATATGTCACAAGATGTAGCGTGAAAAGCCCTACATTTTACGAAAGAACAGTTTATTTTATATATGAAATAAGAAAAGCATTATTTTTTCGGATCAACAAAAATCGGTCGCACAGAATTTTGGTGTTTTTTGAAAATAAGATATACACAATTAAAATAAACTTTACTTTGTAGATTGTAGAAGTTTTCACGCTGCATCTTGTGATGTATTTTGGTTTTCTTAAATAAAACGTATTAGGCGACAAAAAGATGCAATAAGCAAAAATGAATTTATCTTGTACCAAAAACTATTAATTCCGCATGATCAACAATTGTTCGCTCAAAATTTTGTTCATTTTGAAAACAAAAAATGCAACTTAAAAATAATTGGCCTTTTGTAAATTGTAGAGCTTCTCAAGCTGCATCTTATGGTATACTTTGTCTTTTAACACAATGTATTAAGTGATTACAACATTTAATATACCTCACCCGTTAGTGAAGTTTTACACTAAAAGAGTTCTTATTGAAATTTTATTATTATGATATTAGTTGAATACTGATCAAATGGCATAGAAAAATAGAGCATCGTTTTCTCTACCATTATATCAAGACAGAAAACTTCTTCGAGCTTTCTATAGAGAAATAAGAAAATGAGGCCACTACTTTTGGACTGCCCTAAGTATAATTACCTGGCAAAATCTTTCTCACTACAACCACGATAGCAATTATAGCACGCCGAATTTTCCCAAAGCAAATAATATTCTAAGAAAACAGTAGAATCGACACGCAAGTGAAGTTGTCATACAATTCGAGTATTTTGATCCTCGATTCGCTTAACATCATGCTCCAACTGTTTCAACTCATGTTCAAAGTCGACCTTGACGCGCTCTATCCAATGACGAAATCAGATTTTTTAATAAACCAAATCGTTCGCTCACAATTTCAAAACGCTGAAAGATGTCTTTAGTAACAAAGTCAACCACACAGTAATTCCACCCTCAACTCTCCAAAGAACATGCTAAATATGCTGAAAAAAGTTTCAAGTAGTACTCCACCAGCTTTCTCCCACTGATGAAATTCAAACTTTGATTTTCTGTACTATTCGCGAGAAAATCTTGAAAAATCATAATTATCAGTGTGTTGCAATGTTTCGACCATCTCACTTTCCCAGGAACTTTTTCCAAGTACCTTTGGATGAGCTTCATTTGAACCTTCTTTGGAACACTTCGATGATGGGTGTGGGTGTAGGTGTTTTTGTTTCCCGAACTCATACCCACATCCACCACCCACCGATACCCTCTTTTACACATGTTAAGAGCTATTTCTCAGATATTCGGTATGAGAAGATACATTAGCATCAATTCAATGTTACAGTCATTTATTGTTATAGTCATATCTAAACGAAAAAATTCTACAACTTCAACTCTGCAAAATACTCAAGTAAGAGGATGCGATGAAAGAAAAATGACAGGTGACTTTTGTCCGAAAATCGTTCTGTCAATGGGTGTGAGTGTAAAAATTCAAATTTTTCTTCAGATCAAGAGCGAATATGAAAATACAACTGTTGCTATTATGATGTCACATTTTTTCAAGTTCCACTCAATGTACACACTTTTCAGACTATGTATCTATACAGGCTGAAAAATGTCATTTGATCGTACTATTTTCATGATACACAAGAAAATCTGTTACTTTAACATTAAAGCCATGTTTCGGACGTATCAATACACATAGTTGTCGTCTTTCTTTTAGTTAACTTCTTCCTCTTACAATACTTTGTTTTCTTTCATGCGATGTTTTGAGTATCATGTCATTGTTGGCATATCGATTTCATACTTCCAAGCAGCTAATGTTTTTCGTTCAATTTTTAAGATATATTTTTCAGATAAAACAGTATTGAAGGCACTTAACAGAAGAATAATTATTTATCTAATGGATTCTAATAGGATAGAACATCCATCATGGTTTAATACAAGACAGATTGAGTCTGATTTATATTTAACAACAGAAGATTATTATTATTACGGCAATCGTTCGAATAGCTGGCTTATACGTGGAACAAGTCGAGATGTTATTATTGATACTGGTCTCGGTCTGTGTAATTTAAATAAACATTTAGAAAAACTTGGATTATTAGATAGTAATCGCCAATGTATTGTTATTTGTACACATTCTCATTTCGATCACAGTGGTGGTGCACACCATTTCAATAATGTACTAATTCATCAAGGTGATTATGAAGGATTGAGTACTGGTGACGAATCAGCAACACTAAACTGGTCTCGTCCATCACATTATCATGCTCAACCATATGCAGATTTCTCTGCAGATCAATATAAAGTTCCACCAACAAAATGTACGCCTATTGAGGACGGTCATCGAATTAATCTTGGTGCTAATGATGATGACATAGAAATAATACATGTACCTGGTCATACACCTGGTAGTATTGTTTGCTATTACCCAAAGAAAAAGGCTTTATTTACTGGTGATTTCGTTTATGAATGTGAAAATGGTAAATATCTGTATGATCATTTACCAACATCATCAATTCATGATTATTTAAAAAGTGCTGAGTATATGATTGATTGGTTAAATAAGCATAAGGAAGTAGAAAAATTTTATCCCGGACATTATGAGACACTCAATAGAATGCGTTTTGAAAAATTATTGGAACAATATATTTATTCAAAGCAATAGTTGGACAGGTCAACCGGCACTCCTTCATACATTTGAATGATGTATAAAGCTTTTCGTTTTAATAAAAACAGAAGAACCTACAGGTTATCTCAGATTAAGACTTGAGTAATCCAATATGATACTGCCTTTTCCTCCGAAAAGGATGTGGGTGAGTGTTCTATTCATATTCGCCCACAATCACTCTATGTTTAGATTTAGTGTTATAGCTCCTTAATGATGGTTACAATCGGAGAGACGAAAATATATTTTCGTATAGATAGAAGAGGATATACCTTCGTCACCTCGATAATAGATAAAATGAGTCATAAATGTCATTTTTGATTATTTATTATTTAAAAACAACAAACTGTTATTTATGATAAATAATTTGTTTCAAACGAATCTATTTCTAATAAGTTATAGATAATAACATTAGAAAGTCTTTCTTAGTATATATTAAAAAAGATAAAAGAGAAAATTTGCATTCGAACAATTTTATCTGTTGTTCTTTGGAATTATTGATTTATTTTCTAAATGATTCATCTTTGTTGCAGATTAAATTAATTAAAAACTTTGCTATTCACTGACTATTTCGGCATAAATACCCGAAGATCGATTAAGATCAAGTCAACATATATTTAGTTACTTTCTTTTAGGCGCTTGCTGGATTGTTGATAATAGATTTTGTTACATTTATAAGATTTATCCAGAGAAAATCTTGTGATAGATGTATATAAATTTTGTTATTGTACTTTTTTCGAAAAAAAAGAAAAACAAAGGGTCTTGATCAAAATTAATCATTAAACGAAAAAGAGAAATATGATAATTTCTTTTAGTTTATAGTTATATCATATCATATTTTAAATAATGATTAAATTTAAAGAGAAAATCTTGATATTTGAATATCATACCGACTATTTAGAAAACGTTTTTGAACCATTAGATGTTGCGGTTCGACTTTTTTAGGATTAGTTCTGCCAAAAATGTCACGATAAAGAAATTGTTTTTGATTGCTGGACTAATTGACAAAGATTTTGTTCAAAAACAAAAACATGTTCATCCAAATAACAAGAATTTTATTCGTCTAAGAATAACTATATTCGAATTTCATACTGATAGGTTTAGGTGTGTGTAGAGTTCATCTCCACGATCTCATAAAATTTCTAGATTCAAAATTGGGTTGAATTTAAAGAAACATTTCTAAATTCAAATAAAAAACTTTTTTTAAAATAAAAAACATAAGTAATCAGAATGTGTTTCGCTCATCTTTTTCGTAAAAGTCTTTCGCAAGAAATAATTTTATTTAATAGATGTTGTTAAATGATATAAAAGTCATTGGATACATTTTTATAATTATTTTGACTAAGATTTCAATTCATTTTTTAATCAATTCAAACAATCAAAAGAAAAAGAAAACAAAAATTATACTTTTCACACATTATAGCCGTATACTGCTTTACAAAGCATTTTATATAATTCGGCAAAATTAGCCAATAGAAATTTAATCTAAAACTTTACTGCTGCTTGTCTATACTGTAGCAATCTAGTCAAGAGTATCCTTCCATTTTAGCACCTAGAACTGAAGACAAAGTAATATGGTCCCTCAACTCTCCTTAGACTCTTCCACTTTTAAAATGACTAAGCAGTAGTTTAATAACAAAAGAACTAGTAGATGGAACATCAATAGAAAGAGAGAGAAATACGTATCCAAAGTGTAGAAATAAAATCGAGCATTTCTGTAATAATTATACATCTTTGAAGATGAATTTATGACGAGAAAGAAACAATAAAGTTCAATTCTAAAGTTTCATGAAGCCTTCGAAAACTTTGGTATACGTTTAGTTCACAAAAACATTCTCTAGAAAATTGAAGTTTTTAAGTACTGCGTACGGTATTCTAAAAGAGAGTATCATAAAAGAAAACTTCGTATAAGGTTATCTGAAAGCTCTCAGAATCAATGGTCTTTATAAAATTTATTACTGTAACTGCTTATCTTCAGTGCTCTTATGTTAGCAGAAATCTTGTGAAATTTAAATTCATGTCAACTCGAAAACATCATATCGTTAGTTAAAAATTCAACGTTTTATTAATGAAATTGTTTATTGTCGTAGAGAAATGTTTCATTAATTTAGTATCAATTGTATAATAAATATAAAATAACTTTGTTTGGTTTGATCTCTAAAAACAATTTATCCACTGATAAATCAACAAGCTGTTTGCTCAAATATGATTTCTAAGTTTTCTCAAAGTCTTCTGGAGTCTGAAAAAGTTCTCTGTAGTTTCATGAAATATCAATTTTTCTTCACTTCGTCCTGAAAACATTGTGAAATGAAAGTATTGTTGAAAACTAAACTTAGTTGATGTAAAAGGAAAATCATCTCGTCTCCAAGGAGGTAACATTTGTAAATAAGGTATATAAGCAGAAAAGGTACAAAATGTTTACCAGTCTGAGTTGAATAATCTTCAATAATATTACAACGTGAAATACCAAATTCAACGTATCGAACAGTATTTTATACATTTCTTCTCAGGTAATGGAAGGTCTACAAATGATATGAGATGATTATTTTATTTAATTATATAAAATTTCATTGGCAATCAACTTTTTTTTGTTATTCAATTTCTTTTTATTTGGAGTTTAATGAATTAATTTGTAAAATGAAATCGAATTCGATTTATAGTTTCTAATCATCTCATCAGTCATTAGGTTTATTTCTTGTTTGACATTGCTATAAGATCAAAAAAAGAAACTTTTACGATAAAAATTAAATATTAAAAAAAAACTGAGAACTGAAGTATTTGTGCATATTTAATTGATAATTGAAAAATTCTGATAAACAAAATAATAAGATTTTCAAATATTTAATGATCTTTTTGTCATCTATGTGTTTGAAAAGTTCAAATTAAATCAAAACTTACATATTGAATAGTATATAAAAGTCATTCAAATTTTTCAACAAAAATATATTTAAGTTGAACAGGCATTGAAATAAGAAGAGCAAATATTCTGATACGCTCTATCTTTATATGTCGATCCCCAACAAGGACCTAGAAAACTAAATTTTGTTTTTATTCTTCTTTATAATAAGAAAATATAATTTTAAACATCAATATAAACAAGGATTGATAATTCTACAATGAAGAAAGAACTAAAACTTTATTTATACTTTCAATAGCTATTCACTTATAATTGAAAATAGACACATTTTTTTTTCTGGTGAAATTTCACAATAGCATACTTTCGTAATATGTACTTTTCATGGACAGATCGTGATGACCAGTTTGAGAATATCATTTCTTGTCTGTCTTTATAAATGGCAATATCTCTATGAAATGAAATTCTACAGCATGGACACACCAAATACAAGGCAAAAAAAACGAAAATAGAATTAACGCATCTCTACTCTTCAATGTATTTGTAATTAAATACTAATGCATTTTATAAAGATAAAGTTGTTTCTCTTATACTCTTAAAGAATTTATTGCGACTGCTGAGATTTGAATAAAAAACTAAAATAACTGTTTTTTTTCCGTATTTACTATAATGTCTTCCAATCAATAATTTCTTTGATGATGAACATACAATGAAAGCCTAGAATAACTTAAAAATTTTAACATATTTTGTTAAATTTCTTCGTTTACAATATAAACAATTGAATTATGTTTTACATTGTAATTTCATAACATATTCTACTAACAAAACTATTTTATATTAATATAATAATACGTTGTCTAAGAAGTAATTTCATTAAATTGAAAATAAAACAAAAAACCATTTTTACCTACAAATAAGACGACGAGAATCATATCCAAAGCTAAGTTTTGTAACATTTCGAAGTTGACTATCATTTAGATTTCGTTCTCCTATTTTGAATAATGTTCTCAATGATTTCACAATCTCTGATTTAATGTCATAATTTCCTATAGAAAAACGAATTTATTCATTTTAAATACTATTTTATTTTGTTTCTATGATATTTGTTCAAACAGAATATCAATTGGATCAGAACAAACTTTGAAGATGTTCATTAGAATCATGTAATCCGAGTAGATTACGTGTCAGATGGATATAGTTCAAACATGGATTAAAGTACAAAGTCGTCAAATTGAATCAGATTTAAACAGAATTTTGTATTCTCTATTCGGACATATATGATCGAAACCTTATACTATTTGGATGAAATCATGGGGTTTCGATTTCTGAAAAAAGTTTTTTTTCTGATTTTGATATTCAAGCTAGATTTATCATCGTCAAAAACGGCCCTAGATAATAATAAAAATTTTCTTTTGGTACATAAAGTGTAAAAATCTATGTCAGTTTTATGGAACAGTTTAATGTATTTGTCGTTGGGTAAATTCAAAAAACATACAAATAGACTCAAAACATTATAAGTAGTGAAGGGAACTGCTAGAAGCAATTTGCAAAAATTGCGTAAAAATATCACGTTTTGAGAGTTTTTGATTTTTTATTGCCTAAAGTATTTTGAGTCTACATCTGTCAAAACAAAAGATTTTGGAAAATCTCTTTTTTTTTATCAAAATGCTTAGAATCGAAAGCTCTAGAAACACGCTTATTTTATCATTCTGGAACCTAATGGAAGTTTCATAAATATATCCAACGGTCAATACATTGAATTGTTTTGAAAGAACAAATGTGAGTGTAAATGCTCATCACCTATTCATTCGTACCTACACCCACACCCATTTAATAAAACAACACTAGAAATATATCGCTCTTTTTATATTCTTATCTGATGTTATTCAAACTTTTGCTCGACCTTAAGTATTACAGATTTTATCTAAAATGATGCTAGAAGTAAATCCATGATAGAATTAATATATGTATTATTATAAACGAGCCATTCCATACGTATTCCAACAATAAAATTTTCGATATTAACTACTTTCTCAAATTTAGAGTGGGGTGGGTGGGTGTCGGTGTGGGTGTGGGTGTGAGCCTAGCTGTGTGGGGTGCGAGCATTAATTTCCTCTCACATCTGCACGCACGACCTCACCCCCAT